TTTTTTTTCAATTTAGATAACGCATGGCTATTCCTTACACCCCAGATAAATCCAAAGATAATCGGCTTCGATGGGGGAGTGAGGGATCTTTCTTTGATTCAGAACACACTTTTTGTTTTGGCGAGGGATATCTTTGAAGACACTTTTTCATTAATGCTCTTGACTTCCGAGGACGACTTCGAGTTTCACTTGGTATATGACGGTCAGAAATTTACGATTGACCGACAGGGAAACGTCAGGGTAAATCGTTGTCTCCTAATGGCTCGTGTACTTGCATCACAAAAAAAACCTACACATATTTGTCTTCCCTTCAACTCTGTGTCAATAGGAATGGAATTTTAGCTCTATTGGTGCTCTCTTTTTGTGCCATCATGAGTTTTCCTGCCGCTTGCAATTTTTTAACGTGTATTACATACTCCGTTATATAAGGCTCTGTTTTTGTCAAAGTTTCTTTGCAGTTTAAATGGCGCTTTCCATTCCTTGTGCTTAAAAATTGAAAAATATCATTATCTACGAATAACCCTTTTGATGCGTTAGGCAATCAATAACTTAACTCTTATGATTTAAGCGCTTTATTCAAGAATGCAAAATGACTATTGCCAATGTGTATCCGCATATCTAATTTAAATATATGAATGTGATGTGCGAATATAGGTGGGGAAGTTCCATTTTCTTTTGTCTCACCAGAAAATACTGTTTTAAAAATCCACGCCTCTGTCCACCAATTCCGATGACTTTCCAGGAAAATATCAAAGCATAAGCTAATCAGTGTTAGGAAGTGAACTTTATAATTCCCTTAAAGCTAAATGAGCATTCATGCGAAATTATAATAGATTTTCCGCCTACTGTTAGGCCTGTTGTTATAGTGCAGACCAGCTAGTTCAAATTATCGATATATTTTTAAGTGATTTTTTAATCGACGTGGCTTGAACAACAGAGACCTAGTTGCCAAACCTCAATTAATCGCACTTTGTTCACGTACCGTATGGGGAATCTCTCATGGTCAAATCTTCAACAAATCTTAATAGTGGACGTTATCTTACGTCTATGGAGATGATTACATACCTTTTGGTTACAGATCTGTTAGTTTTTCTACTCCACATAGTTTGTTTATGCTAAAATAATCTTATTGCACATATTTTTATTTGAGTAATGATCAGCAGCTTTCAAGCATATGGTTAACCTAAGCTATTCGAAAATGTAAGAAATGAGTAAAGAAAGGATTCAAGTCCGTTCAATTATATAGACTAGGAAAACCGCTGAACTTCCCTAGACAAAGGAAATCTATAGATATTGTCACAACTTTAAACCTCAGTTCATTAATTTAGTGTCTTCAGTAACAAAACACGTCAGGCACGAGCAATAGCCATGACATGTAATTGACCATCCTTAATGTCAACCTACAAGTGTATCATATATAATTTATTTTTCCCTTATATATAATATTTGAAACGTCAACTTTGTTGCCTCCTTTTTGCATTATGTATTGTCTTATTTAGTTACCTATGTGCACAATAAGCGTCTCAGGCCTTGCTCCTATAAAACCACTGATGACCATCAAGAACCGAAATCACTGGCTACTAGCAGGAACTTATCCGCAATTCACTATTGTCTACGATATGTTTCATGATGTGCTCTGGGTACAGTTGGGTGCCAAGTGGTTTGGTAGACTTGACGGTCTTTTTGGAAGCACAACGAAAGTTCCCTTTTCCCCGGCTTTGCCTGCCTGGACAGCACAAAAACAGGACTCATCGGGATGGAAGTGGGCAGACCGGTTTAAAATAAAGGTCAGTTTAATGTATCATGAATTCGTCTGGTTTTTTAAGCCGGTGCTAGGAGTTAAGGAGGGCAATTCTTACCACATGACAAGTCAGAACTGCTGAGATGACATAAACGGAGCAGACATGACCTTATATGTTGGCCGGTAGAATTTAACTGAGCCTTGCGATTTAAATTAAAATTCTACTGATTTGATTTAGGTAGCATGATTTTCAATAATGATATTGTATGGGCCCATTTGGTTACCCATTGTTGCTACCTAAATCAAATAAGTAGACCTGTGATAGGAATAAAGTATGCGTGTGTACATATTTAAGAGCCTCAGCATGACAAAAACGGGCCTCAAGGCAAGCGGGTCTGCCGCCGAACACTAATTCCAATGACAGATAGTACCATACTCGATAGATAAAGATTGTAGAAGTTGAAGTGATCGATTGGATGTCAGTCAGACAGGAAGGAAGTATGCACCATTGACGGTAAGGAGCCTCGGAAATTATAAATGATGTGTGCCAACTTGTTTAAATCAAATATAAATACACTCTATAGGTGAAAATATGCGGAGCCCAGGTAAATAAATAGGAGACAGGAAGGCGTTCTCTGGGTACAGTTGTTTATATCTGCGATGTTTCGAACTCTCACTCGAGCCTTTTATCAAGCAATAAAAAATTGTACGCTTCACTGCAATTCTGCAGATACTTCAACTAAAACGTAACCCACAAACACCAGTAAGTTGCATTTTGCGATAACGTAATGCCATTTCAAATGACTGGACCAGCATGAACGGTTAGGGCTTATCAAAAAGTAGGCTCGTTCATTTTTCTTTCTCCTTAACATTATCGTTAATGGACGAAAATTAGCACATTCGAGCAGTAAATAAAGCACTGAATGCTAAAAAAACATCGTGCATAATTTCTATTCATGTTTTTTGCAGTTCGACACTAGGTATTATGACACTATAATTGACGATACAGAGGTGGCCGAATGGTTTGCCCCCTACGCCTCCTGCAACAGCAGAATTGTTGTCAAACCATTCCTAACAATGGTCGCGCTGGAAAAACATAACCGACATCGAGAACTGGTTTGTAGTGCATTGGCCGCCTACGCATATGCCTGTGACGGACCTAAGGACAAGGACTTCGTTAATGAAGACTGCGGTAAGCAGTTATCCTGGCAGAAACTTTGATAATTGTTGATTTTCTCAGGAAATTCTCTGACCAAAAAAGTATCCCGCTCTCTCACTCGCACGACAGTTAGAACGTCGAATTCAAATACGTCCGTCAGCTACTTCAACAGACTGCAAGTAGACCCGAAGACTTGGGCTTGAATTAGCACTAAGTTATGGTAGACTTGCGCTGCATCTTGCGCACATCCTGTTCTCTCACCCACCCGTACCCAATGCCAGGACAGAGCCAAAAAGGCCAGAGGCGGTGTCGGGCGCAGCTGCGTCAGGAAATATTTTGTTCTCCACCTTAATCCAGCCGATTACGGAGTGAACAAATGTTGATTTATTGCTTTCAGTAAGTAATTGAAGATTATTAAGATTAAATATTTCACCAGAGAGAAATCTTATGCGTGTTTGATGGCCAACTGTACCTCAGCTTGGCTTTTATTTTGTCAAAAGCCAGAAAACGTCAAGTTTACTGATGCCCCCTCCAGAGCGGAGTCTTCGTTTGACCCAGCACCCGGCGGCAATATAGTTTGTTGGTACTCGCGCTAACATCAACCCTCGTATGACGTGTGGTCATCTGATGAGGTTTATCTGTAAAACACTGCATCCCCTTTTGGCAATCACGAGGCTAACACTGGTATGACAAAGACGTTTTGTAATTTAATGGCTCATTTTCCAACCTCACAGCAGCTGAGGTTACTTTATAGAAGTGGTCACCATTAAGGAGTACTTACAGAAGCCAAAAACTAATCGAAAGGTAACTTTTGAGAGAAAAACCCGACAATCACTAGGACAGATAGGTTTTTTCGCTTGACGTCTCGAAATCACAGTTGAACTCATAATCGGGGATAGTATCCGATTAGGGTTATGGACTTACGAGCAATATGGAAATTAGAACATGAGGTTTATGTGTAATTACTTCAATAGTTCGAATGTCGAGTTCGAATATGTCTGCTGTATGCTTCAGCAGGCTGTAAGCATACGCGGGAGTTTGGTATGCATTTACCAAACTCTCTCTCTCGTTCTTCCCTCACTCGCCAGTTCCCGGTGAGAATCAACAAGAACGGAGGCGGGGTCAGATGCAGGTGGCGGGCACTGTGAAATCCGTACTTTAACGAACAACCACGCTCCTTGCTCCGGGACAGATATACTAACCAGGGTTGTAAGGTGACAGAAAAGGAATGAAGTCGTCAGCAGGGGATCTCAGCTTGAGCCTCCATGCCATACATCTCACTATACATCAACCTGGTCCAAGCCTAAACTTGGCCAGGATTTCGCACAATAAGAGGATAAGAAAAGCCGCGATTCAGATTCCGGTTCACGAGCAGTCTCGGTCTCCGTGCAACACACTCCATTTTAATCAACTGCGCCACAGCCTACATTTTGCAAGGATTGTAACACAAACTGAGGGGAGGGAGAAGTTGAAATCCCAGCTCACGTAGCATGGGCCTCCTTGCCAACCACCAGATTATACTCAACTGGTCAAGATTTTACACACATTGAGAAGAAGACTCGGTCGCTTGGACAATATGTTTAGTCGCCCGACGTTTCGATATCCGTCGCGGATTCGTCATAAGAGACATGAGTAGCAGAAACAGGTTTAGCATACACAGAATTTGCAGTATATTAGGACACAGTCATTACTGCAAACATACAGCGACAATTAAAGTTAATTGCCTTCTTGCGCGTGGATACTGCAAGCATACAGCGACAATTAACGTTAATTGCCTTCTTGTGCATGGATTGCTGGTTGGACGGCACGCGGGCTCTGACCTTTTCAACTTTCATT